ATCTGACAACTACGATCGTGAAACCAAGGCTACTTGTAGAAGAGAAACGTATAATTAGAAATGAGAGTTCAGCCAAAGTGTATCATGAAGAACAAGCTCTTCACACTAAAGGTTTTGCCACTAACCAGAAGAAGCTTGCATTTGGAAAACCCATGAAGAAGTATGCAGCTAAAAGGCCAAATGAAGAAGAAACTAACAGAGGAAGAAGTACGAAATGCTTCAGCTCTGGCCAGTGGGGGCACATATCTAAAAATTGTGATGAGGATAAATATCAGAACCAAAACTGCAGTTGACCTCAAGACAAACATTGCACTTCTGGCAAACGAAGAAAAATCAAGAAAAGTAATCTGTGGATTTTAGACAGTGGAGCTACAGAACACATGACCTCTGATAAAAGAAAATTCTCAGACCTTAAGAAGTACACATCTGAAGTTGAAGTTGCTAACTGGAATTGGAAATTTTTCATTTTCTGTTGGAGAGGAAAATGGAGAAGAATCGTCACTATTGAAAATGTCCTATATGTTCCAGAACTAGGAGGAAATCTATTATCCATTGGTAAAATTGAAGAAAGAGGCTTAAAAGTAGAATTTGCTGAAGGAAAAGCCAAAGTGATTGGTGAGAAAAAAGGAAGACTATACATAATCGAAGAAAAGATGGCAACTGCCTACGCTACAAAAACTGAAAGTGCCGACTTGCTGCATCATAGACTTGGTCATCCACATTTTTGTACAACAAAAAATATTGTCTCCATCGGTAGAAACCTGAAATCAACAGTATTAGTAAATGAACCTTGTATTTATTTTTTTTCATGAGAAGAACATCATAATTGGAGTTTATGTTGATGACCTCCTGATAGTTGGTAACATGCCAGAGATAAATGAATTCAAGGAAAGCATTAAAAAAAGGTTCAGTGTCAAGGACATAGGTCCTGCAAGCCAGATCTTATCCATGCAAATATGCAAAGAAGAAAATGGATCATACACACAAATCATTTATGTATCGGAAATCCTAGAAACATTTAAAATGACTGAAGCAAAATGTGCATCCACACCATTGGACCCCAGCATAAAATAAGAAGGTAGATGAACAACAGTGGGAGGAAATCAAAGAAAACAGCAAGGAAATCCCTTACAGACAATCTATAGGAAGTCTCCTTTATCTGACCTGTGGTACTCGTCCAGACATGTCTTATTCTTCCACCTACATGAGCAAATTTAATGAAAAATACACTGAAGACACTGGAGAGGTGTGAAGCACATTCTAAGATACCTAAAGGGAACACAACACCGAAAGTTGAGATTCCAGAAGACAGGTGAGCCACTTCAAGTCTTCTCAGATGCTGACTGGGGAGGTGACAGAACTGACCGTAAATCTTACAGTGTTATATAATGCTACTCGCAGGTGTTCCAATCTCATGGTCGAGCAAGAAGCAATCCACAACAGCCTTATCATTGACAGAAGCAGAGTATGTGGCAATGTGTCACGCTGCCAAGGAAATCCTATGGATTAAAAATTTGATCAAGGAAATCTGTAGTGAATTAGCTGCTTCACCTCAAAAAGTGCTAGTCGACAACCAGGGAGCAATCTTCTTAGCCAAGAACCATGTTACTTCTGAAAGAAGCCTGAAATATGTGTATCGATGTGCTTACTTCTTCATCGATATTAAATTTCATTTTCTGAGAGACCTAGTGAAAGAAAATGTGATTATATTTGATCATGTGCCATCCAGCAACAATCTCGCTGATCTCTTAACTAAGCACACCTCGAAAAAACTTTTACGTGACATGAACTATGCCGGGACTTGCATGTAAAAATGATCTCCTTTGAAGTTTATCACTGGACATAAACCATTATGATAGTGACTGTGTAGAGACTTGACTTAAAATTCAGAAAGAAGCCTAGATACAAATTTTTCTTAATTGTTTTCATGTAAACATTGTGTTTCCTAGTATAACTTAATGTGTGTTCATTTAATGATGTAATTCATAAGTAGAGGTCGATAGTGTTTATGCATGTAATAGCAGCTACACTGTTTTTCTGTAAATGTGTACAACCACAGCGTGATAAATTTTTGTGAAAGTATGTAAATATCTTGCAAATAGTGTGACTGGCAAGGGGCGTGTTAAAAATATGTGTATATGTGCCAGTTTCAATATTTACTTTATGAAAATTGGCAACAGTAGTTTTTGTTGTCATTCAGTCCCTATCTGGTGTGCATTGCTGTGGTTGCTTGTTCCCATGTAACCTAATATTCCCAATATATTTTTTATTGTTCAACCTGGACTATGTCGTTTCTTTAACCCACGAATAGCTTAAACTTTATCAGGTTGGAGAGTTTTTGCAATAAAAACAAAGTAGAGAGTAAAGTCTTATTACAAGTACGAGACCAATTTTGCAGATGCTGGATAGAACTGTGACTGTTAATTAGAATCCAGATATCTTCATAGGCAGTTTTACGGCCATCCTCAATTGCTATAAGCTCAGAATGAAGGACAGAACAGTGATCAGGGTTTCTAGTCTTAATATTAAAGCTATTAAGAGGTGTCCTAATGAAGACTCCACTACCACAGTTCCCATATTCAATTTTACTGCTGTAAGTGAAAAGTCTTTAATCCAGACGTCCATAATCCGGAATTATCTATAAAAATGCGTTTACACATGCGCGAAGTACCTTTACGTATGCTCGTTTAATGTATAACAGCGGTATAAGCTAGGCTAAAATTATCTAATTATCTATGTCAGTTAATGTTGCAGATTGCGTTGTTCCTTATCTTCTAATTGGATCCGGCTTATTATTTTTTGCAGACTGTTAGAGCAATTTTATAAAAAGTAAGCTTGAACTTTCGATTTTGTCGAAAAGAGTTTCCGATTCTGGAGCTGCCAAAGGATCTACAAAGCGAAAGCATATTTCGATGTACCGCTTCCGAAAGTAAAGAAAGTGACAGAGAGGTTATTGAAAACAAAAAAAATTTCAATTGACAAGTTAGTCGGTATTCTCGACACAGCAATTACAGGACTTGAACAGTGAAATTTTATAACTGAACAAGAAATTATGTCTGTTTATAGAATTAAAGAGAAAGTATTAGCACATAAAACTAAGCAAGTTAAACAACTTACATTGAAAGAAATAAAATAAACAAATAAATATTAAGCTTTCTTTCTTTTTTTTTTTTTTTTTTTTTTTTTTTTTTTTTTTTTTTTTGTAAATTTTGATACCTTTCAGATCATCATTGCTCTTTATTTCATAAATTATGGTTTCATATTTTTAATTTTATAATTTCTGCATGCCATCGTACCAGATTTAAATTGATTATCTATAATCCTGAAAAAACCCTAATCCGGAATCGCCAAAGTCCCGACGAGTCCGGATTAAAGACTTTGTTCTCTGTATGATTATTTCAGCCAGACAGCTATTTTGTAAGCCAGCAATTAGATGGGCTGCACTCATTTGAACATGCTTAAGTTTAGCCAAATAGGTAGGAGAAGCACAGAAGTAAATCTTCGAACCATATTCCAAATGGGTCTTATCGGTGACAATATGTAGGTCTGACAGTAGATGAATCCAGCCCCTACTTGGTACCAGAATATTCTTAAAGATGTTAAGTCCTTTTCCTGCCCTTCAAAACCAGATTTTCAATGTGTTTATAACTCAGCAATTCCAGATCAAACATGTAACTCAATTATTTAGGATGTTTAATATCATAAATATAAAAGTAAAAGCTGATCCAGTGTAACAATATCTGGATGATAATTATTCAAGTCCTACTAGTAGTTGCCTCAATGTAACAAGGGGATCACAGTGGGCCTGAATGGGTGAAATATGTCGGGATTTTCTTCTGGTAGGGTCACTCTATGCATGAAGGCCATTTCTTTTCTTTTAGCCCACCTAAAACTAGTAGGCAAAGTCAGCTTTATACTTTTTAGTGCTCCACGTCTCTTCACAAACAGAAGCTGTACCACTCTCCTTTTTCCATGAACCAGACTTTCAATATCTTCATGTTCCAGCAGTTGGTACTATAGGATAAAATCTAACATTATACTTCATCATTAAGTTCAAAATCAATAGCAGTTCTGAAAAGATGCAGATGGGACGGGGATACAATATTAATTACTTGTGATAGTACTTCCTTCCATTCTCTAGAGCTCTGTTATATGCATGCAGCATGATGCCTACCCAAACAAGAACATTTTCAGCTACCAAAATGGTTGTTTTAGTTTGTTTGCAGAATTGTGAAATGCTTCTACTTTTTGGTAGTTGAATTGCTATCATGCATTTAACTGTATCTCCTCTCGCAGAGAGTACTCGCATCATTACTTTTATTTCTAGTCCTGGTATTCATGACATCATTTTAAAGGTATTTGTGTTTGACATGTGTAAAGGTGAATATATCATGCTGGCTGCTAGGCAAATAGACCATTTTTATGTAATCACCATGTTGCAATGACATGTGGTATCCAGCATCACATGTTACTGTGCATGGTGATTGCTTTCACTGGCTGTTTGATTAGGTCTCTCTTATCTTAGGCTATTATACGTATGTCTCGACAGGCATAACTCTATCTAACTGAGCCACATTGTTCATCAAAAACATCACTTCCTGCCATTTAGAAGGCTGTCTGTACATTCAGCAATATTGTGGACAATATCAAACACTGGCTATACATATCAGAATTCTGCTGTGGATGGTGTGCTGTATGGGCCATTCTATTGCCCCTCGTGCATTTGGAGTATCTGTGCAAATACAAAGTATTTCTTTGTTATTTTCCAGTCAGTTTTTCATTCTGCTTCATAAGTCACACCCACTTTTCATCAAGTTGTATGCTTGCACCTCCACAGTTATATCTAACCCCACACAAGCTCCTGATAGGCTTTCATTTGAGTGCTGTCAGTGTTTGAAATGTTTTGTCACTTTCACTCTTGTTTCTGTGTTTTGCACAATAAAGTGCTAATATTGTAGTTAGAAAATATTGCTTTTATAAATAACATGTACTTTTTGTAGTTTTGCAGTTTGGCTTTGTGACAATCTTTGTAGCTGCATTTCCATTAGCACCATTATTTGCTCTTCTGAACAATATTTTGGAAATCAGACTGGATGCTCGAAAACTTGTGTGCTCCTATAGAAGACCAGTGGGTGTAAGAGTTCAAAATATTGGTGAGAATATGTCTGTTACTTTTAAATATAACTGATTTTTATAATACTTAATGTGTATTATTGTCTTCATCTGTTTCACATGCATGTTCAAAATTTGATAAATGTATAATTTTTTAATCTGGTTTTCAATTTTATACAAATTTAGAGATTTTTTTAAAGAAAAATTATATTTTTTTAATCTTCTTTTGTTCAGATAATTATGGGATTATAGTTGTGATGTATTAAGTTGTATTAATGATATAAATTTTGTGAATTACACAAAAAATATTTATACAGATCATGAAAAATATTTTTGCAGTAGTGGTTTACTAAAAAACTTATTTATAAATTTACGTTATGTAAAAAATTTCTAAAGCTTATAAAAATCAAGAAATTATAAATGCTGATTTTCAGTTATAATTAATGGGACTTTAAATGAATATGCTCTAAATATAAGTTTATGAGATTGTTAAAAATCAGGAGCATATTTTGTGTATTTGGCAATGTTAAATGTAAAATTATGAGCAAATAGCTTTGACCAAGTTTATAACAAGTAAAATGTTATTTTCTGATAATAAATATTTTACATACATCAGCAAATTTTTGGTATGTCTAATTTTAAACATGTGATGTAGAAGACATTTTAATAAACTGTTCTAATGTAATTATGTATTTAATGTTTAAAATTTTCTGTTTAGAATATTAAATAAATAATTTTTGAAAAAATGTAAATATATTTTTATATGTTTCAAATGGGGTGATTTATTAGGCTTTGAGTATAATTTAAAGGATGTTCTGGTTTTGTTGACTTTGAATCCTTCCTTTCATCTTTTAGTTTAAGAAAAATAAAGTTTTCATGTGCTTATTGAGTGAGCTTTTGATGCTAAACAATACAAATTGTTGTATGTGTATCAAGTCATTTAAATGTTGTTGATGATTTTGTATGTTTAATTTTGTTTTCGCTGTGAATTAAAATCTTTCTAATTACAATTTTAAATGGGTTAAATATGCTATGCCATTTAGACTAATAAAAAATACTAGACTTACCATACATTCAAAATGGAAATCAGTTTCATTTTGTCAGTATTGAAGTCGTCTCATCCGTAGTTATTTGAGATATAACCGACAAACTATAACAAGAAGAGTTTTTTAAGTAAATTTTTAATTGTAAAGTAATTTTTATAACAAAATGAAAAAGTTTTTTAAGTAAATGGCAAATTTTATTTATAAAATACTTAACCAAACATGCATAAGCAACAAAAGTAATAATGCTTAGGAAAAATTTCAAATATATTTTCTATGTGAAATCAAAAAATTGATACTTGCAAGAAATTCTGTTGGTTTCATTTTGTAAGTCAGTCAGCTAAATCTTAAATTATTTTCAGGATGAAATTTATTTTGAATAATTCTAATATATTCAATTAACCTCTAAATAACTTATTTAGTGGTTAATTTACTGACATGTATGTTTGTATTGATTCGCTGATGTGTATGCGTATATGTGTATCAATCAGGCAGGCAGTCATAAAAATTTTCATTTCATTCATTTAATCAAAAAAAAAATATTTTAATGTAACTCCTTGACTTAATTTTGTCTCGAGAGACAATTCTATTCCAATATTAACATCAACTTCAATGAATTCTTCTGGATAGGTTTGTGTTTGCTTTTCATAAATGTGCTCCCTCAGTAGTTACATTACTGTTAATGTTATGCAGCCATTAATAATGCCATTAATAGTTAGGGAGATATCTTCTTTAAGTGGCCCATTTGTGCTTCCTTCAAAAACTTTAATAATCCTTGAACATATTATGCTTTTACAAACATATTTTTTCATCATATAAATAATAAAGCCAACCCAAGTAATATTGGCAGATTTTTTATGTTCTTTGAAGTCATTATTATTATACATTATAGATAGATAAAACATATAGGTTGCAAAAATCAATTTTTTGATCAATAAATTGTAGTACAAAATGTGTACTTATTTTTTAAAAAGGAACTTACCAAATGTTTAAACATTTTAAACACTACACACAATTTCACTGTAATCATTTTCAGCCATGCAGTTCTGACAAAAAGGCTCTTGGGCGGTACTGTCCTACAGGAGATGCTTTTTTAATGTTAGCGTAGCATTATTCAGGAGAAATGATAAGCTGGAAGATCATCCTGCAACAATAGCTACGAGGCTATTGTGAGGTGCTGGTGAAGAAATCGAGGCCTGAATATTCCGGTGAAAACTGGTTGGCAGTTAAGTGAAGTGGGGTTAGGTTTCATACACACTTCATTTGTGACGTTATGCAGACAAAGAAAGGAGGGAATGGAAGGGAGGCAACAAATGATTGATGCTAGTACTGCCACACTGATGAAAGATAAAAATGTGTATTTCAAATAACAATAGATGCCCAAAAATACTGGTACAGTCAAAAGTCGTTAATCCGGACTCGGCGATTTCGGATTATAGATCATCAGTTTAAATCTGGTAAGATGACATGCAGAAATTATAACATTAAAAATATGAAACCGTAATTTATGAAATAAAGAACAATTATGATCTAAAGGGTATAATCAAAAAAAAAAAAAAAAAAAAGCTTAATATTTATTTGTTTATTTTATTAAACATTTCTTTCAATGTAAGTTGTTTCGTTTTTTATGTGATAATACGTTCTCTTTAATTCTATAAACAGACATAATTTCTTGTTCAGTTACAAAGTTTCGCTGTTCAAGTCCTATAATTGCTCTGTCGAGAATACCGACTAATTTGTCAATCGAAATTTTTTCGTTTTCAATAACCTCTGTCATTTTCTTCGCTGTCGGAAGCGAATTATAATGACAAGGAATTTGATTGAAATCATATCAAAGACGGAGTACATCGAGATGAAATAATACATTTAGTAAGGAATTATAAGCCAAATAAAATAAAAACATCTGCCCTGAAGATAAGGATAGTGCTGACAGATCAACTTCCAATTCATTGCGTGCTACGGAGTTAAAGATAAACAAAGTTTAGATAAACAAACGTTAAAGTTTAGATAAACAAAAGATATGCCTTTATCCATTTTTTGCAGCAATTCCACTTTTTGTTTGATGGACATTGGAACATTTTCGCTTTGTAGATCCTTTAATAGCTCCAGAATCGGAAATTCTTTTTGACATAATCGAAAGTTTTAAGCTTACTTTTATAAAATTGCTCTAACAGTCTGCAAAAAATAATAAGCCAGATCCAATTAGAAGATTAAGGAACAACGCAATCTGCAACATTAACTGAATTAGATAATTTTAGCTTAGCTTATACCGTCCGTTATACATTAAACGCGCATTCGTAAACGTATTTTGCGCGCGCGCATATTCGCAGCCGTAAAGTTCTTACGTCAACACGACGCATGCTCAGAAAGTTTGTAGCTTTGAGGTCCGGATTATGGGTGTCCGAATTAACAACTTTTGACTCTATTTTACCTTGGCAAATACCAGTTTCATGAAATTGCAAAATAGCACAAAATATCAGTATACCTGTATTGCAATAACCATGTACTAATAAGTTAGAGTTATTGATTTAAATAATTCTGCTTTGTGATATATGAATTTTATCTCTTTTTTTTTTAATTGCTGAATAAATATTGGTATGGCAGTTATTTTCTTGTTGCCCTTTGAACATATGATAACTGACATTTTCCTTTCTTTTTAAGTTTAAATCCTTATAAAATGCAATATATGAAGTTGTACTATTTTATAGGCATTTGGTTTCGTATAATGGATTCCATTGGTAAATTAGCTGTTTTGACTAATGTGAGTTTTTTTTATTTATTTATATTTTTATTTTGAAATTCTTCTATGATTTCATGTTATAATATGTTTAATGTATTGAATTAATTGTTTATAATGTTTTAGCAGTTATAAGGTATTGATTAACCTACTTCTAGCAGTCTGAATGAAATGCAGATTAAACTAGCTTAAAATAACATGCTGGTATTTATAAACATAACTTAAAAGTCAAAACTTGAATTTATATGTTTATTTAACTAAACATGGAAAATCCAATAAATTTCATACTCTTTGGTTTAAACTTGTCCAGGACATTTTCTGAAGCCAAATTGGCAGGACACTTTGATGCTTATTTGTAGAGTCAGGTTATTTTGAATCAGGAGACATAAAAATTGTGCAATGCCCTTGCTCAGACTCAAACCCTGGACCTCTCGAACACGCATCGAGTATGCTTCCTATTGAACCACAAAGGCTTGCAGAAAGGAGGGAGAAAATACTATATGCTCCCCCTTTTAGAGGATGCAGTTACTAAATCCTGATGGTGATGAATTAGCGTCCACCACCTTTCAGTTCGGGTGCCATTGTAGAGTCATTAGATTATGTCGATGGTGGAACATGAAAAATGTAAAATGCTCTCACCAGGCCTCAAACCATGGACCTTTCCAATACGTATTGATTATGCTTCCAATTATACCACGAAGGTATGTGGAAAGGAGGGGAAAATTACATTATCAATTTACCTTTTGGGATAATCAGCGGTTACCAGTCTTACAGTCTCTGTTTATTCACATTTGCATTGTTATGATGAGCTTTGTTGCCTAACTTGGTGTTATTTGTTTTGAAATTAAGCTTCTCTAAAGCAGTAATTAATAATGCATAAAGGAATTTAATATTTAATCAATAATAATCATACAAATTTATTCAGGCATTTATGTACCTCAGAACCTTTTAATTGTGTAGAACAGATTTTTACCCTTTTTCTTGCACTGACCCCTTTTAAAGATGGATTTTCTTAATCAGTGCTCTTAGATACCTACTTTTCCAACTACTACTATTACGCCACCATTTCCGGGTGTATATTGCTCAATTTTTCAATTAGAATAATTTTTTGCTCCGATTTTCTGTCTTTAACAGCAGGTATGTTGTCTCTTATTGCTTTGTATTACGCGATTTGGGAATCATTTCTATTTGAAGAATTGGTAACATATAATGCATTTAAATATTTGTGAAAAAATAATAAAACAAACCTAGATTTTCAAAATGGAAAAATGGCTAGGTTTGATTAAGCAGAAAAATGATGGTTCACTTGTGATAGCTCCAGGATAATCTACTACTTCTAAGAATATTGAGGGAAAAAAAGAAAAAATTTTCATGGAAAATATAATGAAAGTTATTTATCATTTGGGTTTACTTGGAATGGAGATGAAATGGACCATCAGCCTCAATGTGTTGTTTGCGGTGAACATCAATCAGACATCCAATCAAAGTATGAAAACATCACTTCTAAAAAGACATCTTGAATCTAAGCATGCCAATTTAAAGGATAAATCTGAAAAATATTTTAAGAGGAAATTATCGGAGTTAAAAAATAGTAAACAAGTAATGAAAGGTTTTGTTACGTCAAGTGAAAAAACTTTGGAAGCTAGTTACCTAGTAAGCCTTAATTGCCAGAACTGGGCAGGCTCACACTGTTGGAGAAAAACCTTATATTGCCAGCAGCTAAACATATCACTTTAGCATTATTCAATGAAAAAGTAGCTAATGAACTTAGTAACATTCTGTTATCAAGTGACAAAGTAAATTGACGAATTCATGAAATGACAAATTCCTTTAAAGAGGCATTTATTCAAAAAATAAAACATAGGATACTCACTATGTCTTATTTGCATTGCAATTAGATGAAAGTACTGATGTAATGAACTTTGTTCAGTTTACATACGTCTTGAAGAAGATAAACGGATTACCGAAGAGTATTTATTTTGAGAATCACTTTATGATAGAGCAACTGCAAATGAAATTTTCAAAGTAATTGACAGTTTTATATCTGATAATGATATTCCTTGGAATAAGTGCATTGCCGTATGCAGCAACAATATTTTATACCAAGATATGGGCAGTGAATATGAAATGCTTTTATTATATTCCGTAGTAAGGTGGTTATCCAGAGGGAAAGTTTTAAATCGGCTTTTTAAACGTAGATCAGAAATTTAAATTTTCCTCTGTGATTCAAAATTTGAATTGGAAAAGTGTTTATATAGTGAATTTTGGTTGGAGCATAAGCATACTTAGTTGAAATTTATTCATGTCAAAGCTGATGCTTTGACATAAGCATTCTTAGCTGATTTTGATAGCTGATATTGATTAGCTGATATTTTAAGTTAAGTGAATTAAATTTAGAATTGCAAGGATGAGGTTTTAATTTGTTTACCATTAGAAATAAAATAAATGCAATGATAATAAAAACTCGAGCTAATAATCAAAGAATTGGTTAATATAATATTTTAAGCTTTTTACCACTTTTAAAAAGTTTTCTAACCGAAAATAATTTGAAAATAAAATAATTAGCATCCAATGTTAAAAAATCATTGTTTTTCATTGATAAATCATTTGAACATATATTTTCCCGAGGATTGTGAAAAAGAAAATTGTATCAGAAATTCATTTTTTCAAACATACATAAAATTTTGTCTCATTAAGAAAAAGAACAATTGATAGAAATTTCCTGTGATCGAACTCTAACTGAAGATTTAAAAAATAACACACTTGGGAATTTTTGGCTGAAACGGGAAAAGAATTTAAAGGTATTTCAAATAAACATGGTAAATTTTTGTTTCCTTTTTGCACAAGCTATTCGCGTGAACAAGGATATTCTTCCATGTTATATTTGAAAAATAAATACAGAATGAAATTAATAGTGGATCCTTATTTACAGTTAAAATTAAATGAAATAAGATCAGACATAAACTGATGTCTCTTAAACAGGCCCAAATTTCACAGTAAATTTTAGAATTGAAGTATTATAACTTAAAGCTTTGCACTCAAGAGGTTACTCTCACTCACCATGGGATTTGATGCCACAATTCGAGGGACGACTCTCATTCACCACTTGATTTGATGTGGAAACCTGATGCACAGCAAAAACTGTGTATGTTTAGTTTCTTCGAAGCAGGTTTCTATGCTCTTTCTGTATAATTTTATGAAGTGTGAAATGATACCCCTTTAAATGGAGATAAGATTTTCTTATCCGAAATTAGTCCACGACCCCAAACCGGAGTGCGTTTTCAGTGTTAGTTCGAACCTGGCAGTCATGGCAGAAAGTATCCTAATATTATGACAGAGAGATTATTGTAACAGGGGTTAGGAAGGATTGCAAAGTCTGTTTACAGAGAAATGAACCCAGAAAAAGACATCAAATGACATATTATTGTAATACTTGCCCCTACAAGCCGGGCATGCATCTTGGGAATTGTTACATGAAATATCATACACAGAAAAATTACAGAGACTAATATTTAAGAAATCATGTTTATAAAGGCGTACAGATATATAAAATGTTAAAAGTATAAAAATTTTATACATTAATTTGCATGTATAATGGTTTTAATTTACTGGCAAGAAATGCGTCAAAAAGGCTGTGAAATATCTTGAGTTGCTGGTTGTGCCATGCGAAAAAGTCCCGGGTGCAAAGGGTTAATATAAATTTTTTTATGTGTACATATTTATTACAAATAGATAGTAGATTGTGCAAATGGCAAAATATATTTTTGTAATATTTCTGTTGAGAAATTGAAAAATAATCATTGTAAAATGTAGTGGTAGTACTAGAATTTTCCAGTTTCTGTTTAGATTGTATGCATTAGGTTATCAGTATCAAAATTTACAGGAAAACAAAGAGAGAAAGAGCTTAATATTGATGTATTTACTTTATTTAAGCATTTCTTTCAATGTAAGTTGCTTTGTTTTTTGTGCTAATACTTTCTCTTTCATTCTGTAGACAGATATAATTTCTTATTCAGTTACTAAGTTCCATTATTTAAGTCCTGTAATTCTTGTGTTGAAAATTCCGACTAACTTGTCAATAGATTTTTTTCCTTTTCAATAGCCTCTCTGTCATTTTCTTCACTATTGGTTGCTGTTGTTTCTGGATCTAGAAACATACTAGAGATTTTGCCGTCCGTTAATTGATTGATGATTGAGGCATTGTCATTGCAATGAAAAACTTCTGTTAACTCCTCTTCTTCTCTAAATTCTGCTGCCTGGTGCAGCCATGCGAGCTCTGACGCCGATTCTGGCTGTATGTGAATAACAAATCGTAATCTTTTGGCCTATGAGTATCATTAACAAAATCCATTTTTAGCATACGGAAAGAATTTTTTTTTTAATCTTTCCTCATATTTCTTAGCGCATTTAACTTATCTGTACTCTTTGTTATTCATTGGCATAGTCCAAATTTAAAAAAAAAAAAAAAAGTCTTTTCGAGCATTCTCCATTGAGGTGAGGGATAAAGATACTCTAGCTACGAATATAAAAAATTTGTTTAGGCATCACTACACAAGTCATCACTCAAGTTTTCATGTGTTGATAAACATGCAGTGAGGAAAGCAAAATATAATAAATAATGATTGGGCATGTTGGCGTCAAGGATATAAAATATTAGTTGGTGTATAATCAACCATATTTCTATGAAGAATGTTTCGGTTTGAGATGTATGCCTAGAAGTTACGCAGTTACGGAGTCAAATTATTGATCATACAGATTTATGCTAATGTTTATTTCTTCAGTAATGAAGTATTTTATTTAAGTGTTGAAGTGAGATTAAGAATCGGGACTCTCCCGATTCATGTTTTATAATGAAGAGGGAAAAAATCAACTGTGCATGTGTAAAGCATAACTTCCCCCCAAAAGAATCCTAAAAAATATTTGTTGGTGGTGGCTTTGGAGGTCTGGATCTCAGACTTTGTACTGTATTATTATTTTTTTTATTTTATAAAAGGAAACAAGTTTTTAGAAATAAATCACAGATTCTAA